CACTACTTTGACTGCAATGTTTGTTGGGGTAATGCAAATTATTGAAATACTGTACTTAATACTTGTCTATGATTTGAAGAATGATAACAAAACAAAGTTCACCGCAGATTTAAAATCTTTAATTTATTTCCAAACTAGCTATAACCCGCGGGCTTTGCCCCGTTTAACTTCTTAATTTTCAGATGATCTCGTTCGCATGGCTCAATCACGTCCTGGTTGAAGTTCGTTCGCTACGCTCACTCACCTTTAGGTTGGAGTGTTGTACCTTTGACCGCCAGTCATATAGTGAAATCTAGAGGTTGTATAGGGAAGCTAATGAAACTAGTTCATAGATCAGCCACCAGAGGACTACTTCACCTTGCATTGGAGATTGAAAACTGTGTTAGTTGGAAGATATTTTAGTTTATTCATTTTTGCTTCTGAAAAGTAAAAATTTGTTGACTTATTGTTTGTTTTATAAAATGTATATTTTTCTACAAATAAAAGTGAAAGTGAGGGGTTATTATTTGATATTTGTCCTCTAACTTCTCTTGGGTGTTTGAAACTGATATTACCGGTATCACATATCTTTTGAGAATATATATAAAATAGCGGAAAGCGCTAGTGTTGTACCTTTGACCACTTAATAGTGGTGTTCCTTTGACCAGGTCAAAGGTACAACATCATCTGTATTCAGTGTAGTTATTACTGGTTTTTATTGAAATATGTTAATGTATTAATATTAAGCCATTGTTTTGTGGAAACGACAGGAGGTTGTCACCAAGCTTCCCAACACTGCCAAATCAAGTGGATAAGCACGTCAGAGAGAATTTTTCAATTTTGCAGTGGACTTTTTATCCTAAAAAGTAGAAAAAGCCATTTTTTAATCTTGATGAATGAATAATAAGTTCAACTTTGTGTATCTGTTTTTATATTTTAAAAACTAAGATATATATTTGTTTTTTTCTACCTGTTTTGGGCTGAAATCGATATGCTGGTCAAAGGTACAACTGCATGTTGAACCTTTGACTACCATGTAACAAATTTCCTTTATTACTAAAAATAGGTTAAAACTTATGACAAGGAACTGGAAAAAATATTTAATCCATGGATAAAACAGTTAAGTATCATCGTTGATTGTTTTTAAAATAATCGGAGCTTTCCTGTCTCTACAAAAAATGTTTAAGTGAAAACTGGTCAAAGGTACAACACTCTCCCCCATGGTGTTTATTTTAACTCAACCCAAATTACAGTACTGAGAGGCACTAAGAAACAAAAACTAATAATTTGGTATTTTCTGTTTCCTTGTATGTGGGGCCAAAAATCTATATTATTAATTCGCTACATGTAACTTTGTTAACTTATAGGGATTTTTTGTTTGTGCTACAAACATTTACTGGCTTGGTTGAAATTAAATATTTACTATTTGAATTTGTATTGGGGTTAATTTACAATAAAAATAAACAGTATCAGCAATCTGACAAATACTTTCTCCCATTAGCTTGTAAATAACCTTTATCAGGGGTAAGCGATGAGAACTAACTATGATATTTAATGGGTAAAATCACAAAAGTTTCATTTCATTAGCTTTTGAACCGTAATTTATACAGGAATCAATTATCAATTATCAAAATTATCAATTATCAAAATTATCAATCATTAAGATGGGGACGCCACTTAGGTGCGTATTTTAACCCAAATATGAGTGAAGGATGAGTGTAGAATGGTGTGTGATGATCTGTGTAGCTTTGTTACTGACTAAGATCAGCTGTTTCATTAGCCAGGATCATTTATTTAAAGCCCAATGATCAGGAACAGCTGGGTTCAGTTTCAAACCATCAAAAAGCTACTGACTTTTCTCAGGATCGAACCGGCGACCTTTTGATTACTAGGCGAGCACTATAACCACTCAGCTACCCAGCCAGTTATGGGGTGTTGCACTATTTTGTTTAGGCGACAAAAGGCGCAATCACGACAAATCCTAGATATCTCCTGAGGAAAAAGAAACGTCATCATCGTCTTCTACAATAGCGTAAAAATCTAGAATATCACGCAAGGTCAATGAAATATTAAAATAGTCTTCCACTATCACAGCAAAATCCTGAGAGTTTCCTGCGGGTTGTGTGGACATCATTATCATCCATTAATTTATAAGGACCAAAACAGAGGAATTTAAATCAAAAAAATTTGTTATCCTTTTTCCATTGTTTTTTAGGGGAAAACAAAATAAGCTTCAATAACTTTTGAACCTAAATTTTTACAGCAATTGGGGGTTGCACTATGTTGTTAGGAATTATAACGAATGTCACATACTAATATGAACTAAAACCGGCCTTTTTTAAAAAATACGATTTTCTATCTTATTTTATAGGTTTTTATGGGAAAATAACATAGTTTAAATAACTTTTGAACCATAATTTTTACAGAAATTGGAGTTGTACCATTTTGTTTAAAGGGCTACACCATCCTAAATTATTATCAAATTGGTTGTGGCCGCTTTTGAGTAAATCCGATTTTTCCGTTATTTTATGGGGTTTTATGGGAAAATCAACATTAAAAATCAAAATTTTAAAAAATGAAAAAAACACCTCGAGATACCATGGATTGGAACCTATACACCAAATTTCATCAAAATCGGGCCACTGGTGTAGTCCCTAGCTCTGTACACATCTAGACACACAGACACACACACTTAAACATCACTTCGAAAACCACTTTTTTGGGTCCTGGGGGACCCAAAACAGATATATCAACTCAAAACTCAAACTCGAAAATGTTTACGAAAAAAATACTTTCTCTTTATATACTATGGTATAGGGGGAGAAAGTAAAAAGCAAGAAATCCTGGAAAATTTGGTATACTAAAAAGAAAACTGTATTAACCCTGTGCTGCATTTCTTCAGCAATCATTGAAAGAGCCGATTTGCAAACTATGGAAACATAGGAATTTCATAGAACACCGGCAACTTGAAGAAATATAAATAATGTTTTTTTTTATTTTTTTTTAAGCAAGACACTAAGGAAATTGTAGTTACTTAAATTCAGAGGTTAATTCGGATGAAATCATCAGTATTCTTATGATTAAGACTATTTCTCCCTTAAACCTACCACTGATCATTTTTGCTTTAATCAATTTTGACGTCTTTTTTATTGTTAGTCTGGTAATGTTGTACAGCTTAAGTGGATTTAAGTTTCGCATTTGTATTATTGGAGTTCCTTCTTTTAATGACAGTAATGTGGTGGGTTGATGACAAATTGAGAGGCATTTGAATACCCGAGATAGCACGCACGATTATTATTCACTTAATAATTTATGTTAGATTGTGTGGGTATAGAACAAAAGATAAAAATACTAAGGCATTGTCATCCCTTTGATAAAGGTTTTTATGTTTTTAATATTTAACTTCGGAGAATTTAAACGTTGTTGAGTGCACAGGTGTGCTGCGATTGGGGCACATACATTTGGACTTATTCAAAAGTAAAATAGTTTTCTGTGCTGCACTCTGTAGAAACACTGTGGCACTATTTCAAATCATGACTAATGCTTATACAGAATGTTAATTGTGATTATTCAAACCTGCAAAACAGCTGGTGAAAGTAAACATCTGCTTTTAAATTATATTTATTTGTAAACATTGTAGATCAAAAAGTCTGACATTGGCCCCCTTAAAACCCTCTGGAGCAGAGCCCTTTTGACGGATCTGCACCAAACTTCACTCGAACAATCCTTGAAAGATGCTTAATAATGCCTGAAAGTTTCATTACAATCTGTCGAGCGGTTTCGGAGTCCATAATGTATATACACACATACACACATACATTCATAAATAGTTCCTCTTTTATAGTTATAGATAGATAAATGTTGATTGTCAAACTTTTATGTAAATCGTGAGTGTTTCCAAAATCTTTGAGTTGACTCTTTTAAAGCCATCATAAATTATGACTGTTTTCCGTTTTAAAATAATGCCTGTAATACTTAGCAAATGCTCGACTTCGAGCAACAGGTAGGTTCTACACTAGTTTATGATGACTTATTAGTTTATGTGAACTTATTGTGACTAGTATACATGTTGCTCAAAATCGAGCAATCGCAAAGAAGTAAAGGAGTTATTTAAAAACAAACAACTTATTTGTAATCAAATATAAGTCATAAATTCCGATGAGTTTAAATAAAAGAGTCAACTCAAAGATTATGTAACTAATGATAATCCCGTACTCACAATGTACTTAACAGTTCAATATAATCAACATTTCTTGTAAATATTTTATCGTTTTTCAAAAGCTGATCTGGCTTTTAGTGTATTGTACAAATGTTTCCCACTTATACCGCAATAGGTTGTCCATGTTAGTCTTTGTCAATGATAATGTAGTCTGCATGGTATAACCCATTGTGGCCAGTACGTTTACAAAATTTCAGTCTTTATTTTAATAGCATCAAATAACCATTAACGACCTGATTTTCTGCATAACCTCTCTGTCACAATTTTACAATTAACATATGTTCTTCTTCTCACTTTTAATTTCTGACAACAGCTGGAGTTTCATAACAATGTTTGTTTCAAATGTTAATCTTATGGAGAAATACAAAACTTAAAAAAGCCCCAGGGCTTCACACTCTAACTATTTCCCTAAAAAGAAAGTTTCCTGCACAACTTCACGTTATGCTCTTTCCAATGACATAAAAAACATGTCAATGGGATCGGTTCAGTAGTTTCGGATGAGGAGTAATTGTCACAAAAAACCTGCTTGCGTATTAAATAAGTATAGATTAATTACCAGCTGGAAAAATTGTCTTTGAAATGATTTTGGCAGGGCACTTTACTATTTGGTAGAGACACAATTAAGGAGGAGAAAAAGTAAAATACAAGTGAAACAATGCTACAGTACTATAAAAAATGTGTGCACAAGATTTGAAATAGTAAACACATTATTATCCATCTATCGTTTTGTAGGTATGATGCCATCAAAACAGAGGGAAGAGATGTGTCATTGTAAAAACGACTTGGCAAAACATGTGATGATTATGATGTCACAGCAAGACAGCGGCTTCTGTTGAGAACTATTATCATGTACAGGACTTCCCCTGATAACTGGTGCAGTTCCTAGTCAGTTGTCAAGATGTTGGCCGCCTTACTGCTCATCTTGACCTCCGCTAGCAGTTCACAAGACATTTGCCAGCTGTGTGATTGTCTGCCCAGAGGTGATAACCCAGTCCAAGCCTTCTGTGTTGATAACAGTTTTGGTGATAAGGTGAGAAATCAGCTTGTTTATTTCCGGTTTAATTATTTTTAATATTAAGATGCCCAACAAGAACAAAATCTTAAAATAAAAATTTTTTAAGTTTTTTTTTTTATTTGATCACTTGATTAAGGTGATCACCCTAGTGCGCTTAATCTTGTGTATGTTAGTTTCCACAAACATATGTATGTTATGTATGTGTATATGTATGTGTTATGTGTGTATGTATGTGTTATGTATTTAAGCAACATATAGGCCTATTTATTTCCATTGACTTTTGCAAACTATAAAGTTCTATTCACTGTCAAATGTATTGCCCAGAAATTTTAAGTGAACGTAAAATAAAAATAAATAGAGGAAAACTTTATAATACGATTTTTAGCAATTGCCAGATGTTGAAAAAGTTCTGTAATGCTAACGTGATCATGTAAGAGTGTTTGGAATGGAGTGACTATGACTGTAGGGGATGTGGAAGGAAAATAATAGGTGTTTGATTAATGTTTTTAGATGATTTTATTTAAATTTAGCAGTTTAATTAGTACAATTCATTGCTGAAGATATTTTACAACTAATATCTTTTTATATTATTACAACATTGTATTACTCATTGTAAATTACTTCTTGAGTCTTTTATCCCTATAATATAAACAAATAAATATTCTTACTTGTGAGATATACTTTTTGTGAGTTGGACAAAATCATCCCTCAGAGATCTATTGGCTTATGGTTACAATGTACATGAAATGAAGTTTTCATATCACATTTAGACAGGCGATTTTAAAACAAATTTGTATTTCATCTTACTAATATTATAAATGTGAAAGTTTGTGTGTTTGTGTGTTTGAAGGTCAATCACGCATAAACCACTGGATGGATTGGGCTGAAATTTGGCATGATGATAGCTCACATTCCCGATTAACATATAGGCATATTCTTATCTCAAAAATCCCTTCGGGCTTCACCCCAGTGGCTCTGTAGTTCCCCATGTTAACCTTATGAGTATTCATATTTAAAGGGAATTAAAGAATTTAGTCAGCTGTTTCAACCAAAAAAGTTGGTTCTATGATATACAAAAGCATTAAAAAGTTATAAGATTTACCAACAGGGTGCAGCACTATATTTTTTTTGCATTTATGTAAAAAACTTATTTGAACTAAGCAGCAACAAACAACTGTGATACGCAATGAGAACTGTCAAAGTAGGATTGTTTACAGTTATGTTTATGTGTTTAATGTCATGAATAATTTGTGATTTTTTAAATTTGTAATACTTTATTTTTCTTTATTGTTTAGGTGAAGAGGTAGAACATTATGGCTATGATAGATGTGTAATACCATAGTATACCGTCAATTTAAAGAAGCAAATTTGATCAAACTTTGTTCTCCCCCATTGCAAACGCAAAGCTTGAGTATAACTGCAATAAGTAATTTAAACTTATATGCCAACCCCGTACGAAGAACGGGTACTTTGCTAGTATTTTTATAAACTCAATTTATTTTTCACTCATTTACTAAAAACAGAACTAAGATGAGTCCAAAGACATTGTATTTTGTGTTTAGAGTTTCAATTTGTCACCTAAAAAATATTAACAATTTTGTGTTTAGCAATTATATTTTTTTAATGTTTGCTTTAAAAAGTTAACCAAGAACAGTTTAAAACTCAACTAAAACTGTCAGAGGAAGGATGGGCACTATGATGGTTAAGTAAATAGTTGTATAATAGAAACTATTTGATAAACTATTTAAGTTTTGACACACGGTGTATATTATTTAAATAAAACTGTAACCCCAGAAAACCTACAGTTAAGATAGTAAAAACAAAAAAAATTTGGAGGTAATGGATAACAGAGATTGACATTGAAAAGTGAGATTAGGTTATCAAGGTCCCACTGGTGTGATTATTCCTTGTAGCAGTACAGAGCACACCTCATTTTGACTAGTTCAGGTTCATTAACTTGTGTTACTAAAATACTTTACTGACTTCAATAAGTGACTTTTGACCCTCTACGATCCAACTACTTGTAAAACAATAGAGTAAATCAACCTTTGACTATTCAATGGTTATAAATATTAAAGCAAATGAGAATTTTTATCAACATAATTTTCTCTATTCTTGTACCGGTACTTTATTTTGTCTATATTCAAATGTGTAATTGCTAGGATTGTAGTTTTTGTAACTGTCAATGTGGATTAAAAATAACAAACTATCTTTATATTTGTATAATGTTTTGCTTTCACTTTTATTTGACTTTAACATCTAGTGAAATCCAAATGAATAAAGTTAGCCAATAAGCTGTAATCAAACAAAGACCAATCTGAACTAAATCTCAGAATGTGTTTTTATTGACCAACATCAACAAAATACTCAGAACTGATAGCACAGAGGAGACTTCTTTTGTCCTGTTTCTGCTTTATTTCAAAAATCTAACTCAGAACTGTTAAAATACTGTGAAATTCAAATACTGTAGTAGATATATATATATATATCAATATCAATTGAGATGGGGACGCCACCTAAGCGTGTATTTTAACCCAAATATGATTGAAGGATGAGTTTAAAATGGTGTGAGATGATCTGTGTACAGATTGTGTAAAGCTACACAAGCATTTGTTACTGACTAAGATCAGCTGTTTCATTAGCCAGGATCATTTATTTAAAGCCCAATGATCAGGAACAGCTGGGTCCAGTTTCAAACCATCAAAAAGCTACTGACTTTTCTCAGGATCGAACCGGCGACCTTTTGATTACTAGGCGAGCACTATAACCACTCAGCTACCCAGCCAGTTAAATATAAATTTAGATTAAACTATAGGCACATCTCTGAATTCAAGGTAATAATTTTTTTATAACTCTAATTTTATGAGCTGAAAATGTAGCCTATTTGTGAAGTATGGTATACTTTATCAGAACTAAAATATCTCTATCTTTGAACACCATTATTTATATATAATAGTTTGATATTTTGCAGGAGTTTTCACTGGCCACTTCATCTCAAGCTTCCACTCTCCAACTTGTGTATATTAATGGTATTAAAACAGTGAACTTTGGACTGAATTCATTTCTAACAGAAAAACCTCTTGATCTTCTAATTCAAAACTGTTCTGAAGTTAACATTTACAACAACTCTATCAATCATCTCCGTTCGCTTGTGATACAAAACATAAAATCAGTGAAGGTGGGAGCTCTTAGTCAACCAGACCTGTGGTCAGTAATACTTGAGAACATTGATCTGCTGACCTTGGATGAAGCCATCAGTTTTAATGCCATCAACTATACTGTCAAAATTGGTAATGTTGGTTCACTCACTGTTCTGGGCACTCAAGAAGAAAGGAACTGTTTTGAAAACTTGGAGTTGCAATTTACATTTTTTGACTGTGTGGTAAGCAATCAATGGACAAATTGTGTGTGTGAGAGTGAGTGTGAGTTTGTGTTTTCACACAAATGTGTGGGTGAATGTTTACAGAGCTAAGTCCACACCATTAATATGATTTTGGTGGAATTTATTTGATTATCGGTACCAAAATACTAAATGGACCATTTAAATTATATAATTTTGTATTATTTATTGTAATTTTTTGGGGGTCGGTATGTTGAAATGGAAACAAACTCTCCCCAAGACCTCTGTCAGTTTGTAATGAAACCACTTGTATCTCCTTCTAAGTGGGAACTGGGAACTGAACGTTGTCATGCTTAAGAATAACTCAGTAAAAATGTAAGCATATGATACACTAAAATAATTATATGAATTATATTTATATTATTAATCAAGCTCAATTACCTATTAAATTCCAATAAAATACGTTTTCTTGCCTAATGCATATATATTTCTTACTAAACATTGTTGGTTGAGTAGCGGAAGCCTCCCAGTGATTAGTATTTGAGCTGATAGTCAGTTGTAATTGTGCCTCTTACTATGGGACACATGGAGTGAGGGGGCAAGCATACATGTTGATAAGGAGCAACAGTGCTGATGTCTCGTGATAATCTCAATAATTATCACCCGGAAAATCCATGTTCTCTAATTATAAACCAATTCATATTCTTGATTATTTATCCTATTTTTTGAGTGCTTCAAAAACTATAATTTTTCAGTTTAACCCAATACCAGAGGGAGGACTGATAATTTGTGGCAATCACATCAAACTAGAAAATAACACATTTGAATCTGTAGCTGAAGGAGGTTTCAAAATCACGGCAGAATCCAGTATCAAGATTGTAAATAACCACTTCAAGCATCTCAACAAGAAGGTGTTTAACCTCAGTTCTCCGGGAATATACATCAGTGGCAACAACTTTGACATTCTTCCTGCTGGAGCTTTAAGTGACGTTTCTACACTTCAAGACACGTTCTTCACAAACAACACAATCCAAGATGTAGACCTAGGTGGTGTATTGTTAGACATGGGCTGGGGAATGACGATAGAGAATAACTTAATCAATTGTGACTGTGCTTCAAAAAGAACAAGTATTTTGAATCCAAAGCAAGATATGCTGATTCTAACAAACTCTTCTCATGAAATATTACAAAGTATTTTCTTCAACAACTACTGCAGCTTAGACTGTACAGTGTCGTTGAAAGATTTCAGTTATGCTTTGATTCAAGGAGACGTCTGTCTCACAAACAACACTCGATTGGAGGAGGAAAAATTGTGTGATATGAACATTCTACCAGATTATGTGACAGAAAGTGAAACTGAAAGTTCCCCAGTCTCTGAGGCCACCAGGGTAGAGTTGTTAGTTCCTCTCAGTATTATCTTAATTAGCTTACTTGTGATAAGTTCAGCTTGCTATGGTGTAAAGGAAATGAAAACGTTTAGGTTTGTTTTCAACCCCCATAGAAACTTAGATCCAAAGCTTTCATCAGAACTACCAAGTATTCCTGGAGCTGGAAATAATCAGTAAGATTAAATTGAGCTTTAACAGCACAATGTAAGGTTTTGCTCTGGAGAAGAGGACTTTCAGAAGTATTTAATTAACAGTATGAATGTTAAAATGCTAGAACAAAATACAAATTTGTTATTGTCGTAAAACAAGTACAGAATTCGACATTGGTACAGTAAATCAAGTTTAAGTTTAGAGTAAAAAAGTTAAGGGTAAACTTGTTCTACCATAGCAATATTTTTGCAAATAATATTTTATTGAAACAGATTGACAAAATAGAGATTATGGAGAGGTGACTTATTATACGTTTCAGTGGCTTGGAGTGAAATAAAATGAAATAAAAAAATTATTTATTTAGACAGGCAAAGTTAGGGCCACATGGCCCTTTCTTACACTTAACCTGTACAAATACACCTGGAATATGATTCCTCATACAAAAATAAAAATATCAAATGAAGGTATATCCGAAAATGCATATCTACCCAGATATCAGCCACTTTTATGTTTTAGATGTTTTTTATATATACACATTTTTATCTTTTAATTCATCCAACCGATCTTTATTAAACATGGTATGTATTTTAAGGTAAAAATATCTATTTTCCCAGAGGGTCATTGTGTACTTTTATCATTCTACGTTTTTGGACACCCTGTATGTAATTGTCTTGTAAGTATATTTTCTGGACAATAAGGTGTAAAATATAAACTCAATCCTTTTTTCACAGGCCTAAAATATATAATACCTTTTCTCAGGCCTTTTTTCAATTTTGTGTCTATGTGATACTGACATGTAAAAATACAAGTTTCTGATTTACAATCTTTATTACTGTTGGTAATATTTCTTTTAAATAAGTAGAGAACATCCAGAATTGTTTTTAGATAGTTTATAAGATGTATTAAATACTGAAAAATGTTTACCTTTACTATATGTTATTATTTACCTGTTATTGTTATTGAAAAAAAGAAACTTGTTTTTACTTTCAACTAGTGTACCTGTTGCTCGAATTCGAGCAATTGCTAAGTATTACAGGCATTATTTTAAAACGAATAACAGTCATAATTTCTAATGACTTTAAAAGATTTGATTAAAAGATTATGGAAATACTCAAGATGTACATAACAGATCGATATAATAAACATTTCTTGTAAAAAGTGTTTTCTACAAAAATAGCCTTACTCATAGCATAGCCGCATTACAGTAGGTTGTCCATAATAAATTCGCCAACCAAAATTCAAATAGGTAGTAAATATTTCATTTCAACTTTCAGTAAATGTTTGTAGCAAATTCCTCGTTCCCACTGTTGACTTAAGTGAAAGTAAATTACTAACACCTAAGTTTTTACTGTTACAATAATCATCTTTTATTTTACTGAAGTATACACACACAACCTTTTTAAAAAAAAAAAACTTATTCTACAATTCTCATTACAATAAAAAACAATCCTAACTATTTACACACTAGCTGTTGTACCCGTGCTTTGCAACGGGAAGAGAACACGAAATAGAAACATTTTGATCTTTACATCTGTTGATAAAATAGTTACACATGAGCCTTTTAAAACATAATTTAACCTTTATTGCCTTTATAGGATAGATGTTGTCATAAATGTAAAAAAATAATAGTACTGCACCCTGTTGGTAAACCTTGTAACGTTTTAATGCTATTCAATATCATAGAACCAACTTGTGTAGTTGAAGCAGCTGACAAAATTCTTTTATTCCTTTTAAATATGATTACTCATAAGGTTAACATGGGAAACTCCAGAGCCACTGGGGCAGAGCCCGATAGGACTTTTGAGATAAGAATGCGTCTATATGTTAATCGGGAATGTGAGCTATCATCATACCAAATTTCAGCCCAATCCGACCAGTATTTTTCGCGTTTACTTGTCACAAACATACATCCATACCGGTACATCCAAACTTTCTCATTTATAATATTAGTAGGATGATCAGCTGTTACGAACATAAATTAAATTAAATACAGAATAAGTAACAGCAAACATATTATATAAAAATAAAATTACATTCAACACCTTCCCTTAATTTTAATTTTATATAAGAAACATAAAATAAATATCTCGATTATCGTCTTCTGTTCAAGATTTTGGATAGTTGATCAAAGCTTTACTGAATTTATGAAACTTAACATTGTTCAAGGGTTTTGTAAACATATCCGCAACATTCTCGGATGTAGAAACAAGAGAAATGTTTATTTTACCTTGCCTTACATTTTCAGTCAAAAAATGGTAGCGAACATCAATGTGTTTGCTTCGCTTATTAAAAATTCCATTTTTACAAAGCTTAATAGCACTTTGATTGTCCATGTTTAGGTTTGTTTCAACATTAGTTCCACTCAACTCTTGCAAGAAAGTTTTTAAATATAACAACTCTTTGACACATTCCGCCGCTGCAATGTATTCTGCTTCAGTACTGGACAAAGCTACAATCGGTTGTCTTCTTGTACACCAGTTTATTGGGTCTTCTCCATACATTATGACAAATCCAGTAGTACTTCTTCTTGTATGCTTGTCATTTGCATAGTCTGCGTTACAATATACATTTAGGCAATTTTCTCCTGATGCTGAAAATAATATTCCTGCGTCTTGAGTACCTCTTAAGGTTCGTTTGACATTTACAACATCTTCATTGCTTGGATTCTCAACACGTCTACTTTCTAATCCCACAGCAAGTGTAAGATCAGGTCTGGTTTTATTGGATAAGTACAGCAAACTTCCTACAACTTCTCTGTAAGGATAATCTTTTGTCAGGCAGCTTACTTCTTCATCAGGTTTGCTCGTTTTCACTGGACAAATGGGAGTGTCTACAGGTTTACAATCTATCATTCCATATTTTTCGAGAATACTGTTTAAATAGTTCTTTTGCGTTAACAATATCCCTTCCCTTGAATATAAAATTTCCATTCCAAGAAAGTTTGATGGGTTTTTGTCTGTTTTTATTTTAAATCTCTAGACAGCTCGTTCAAAAGTTTCTTCATCTCTCTTTCATCTGAACCAGCAAGAATTCCATCATCAACAAATAAAGCAAGATGAATACTGCCATTTGTAAAAACACAACGGTCAGACTGAGTTTGTTTTAAGCCATATTTTAGTAAGCAGTTTGTAAACAACTGGTTCCATTTAAAGAGAGCTTGTTTAAGTCCATATAAAGTCTTTCTTAATTTCAAAACTTTATCTTTATAATCAAACCCTTCAGGTACACACATATAAATTTCTTCATCTAAATTTCCATAGAGAAAATCAGTTTTAACATCAAATTGCATTAGTTTGAGATTTTGTTTGGCAGCTAATGAAAATAACAAACGTAAAGTTGAATTACTTACAACTGGGCTGTAGGTTTCTTCATAATCTATACCTTTTTCTTGGGCAAAACCTCTTACACTGTCTCGCTTTGTATTTTCCGTTATCCTTTCTTGTTAATACCCACTTGTTACTTAGGATCTTCTTGTTTAGTGCTTGCTTTTTGTCAACCACTTCCCACGTTTCATTCTCAATAAGGGAGTTTTTCTCATCCTCAATTGCTTGTAGCCAATTTTTTTTATCTGGTCCTTTGATTGCTTCTTCATATGTCAACATCACAAAATCTTTATATCTTTCAGGTAGTTTAGTTTTTCTTCTTAGCTTGATGCTTTGTGTAGTATCAGTATTACTTGAACTCAAGGGCGGTCCTAGACATATATTTTGGGGGGGTCACCGGGGGGCCTGGGGGGTATGGAAAAAATTTGGAAATAACGTGCTAAAACGAGTGGTTTTAAGCTATTTTGAGGGCCTAGTTTAATGTGTTCAAGCTTCCCAGTTTATTTAAAGGTCAAAGATATGTCTAAAAATAAACTTGTATAATGACATGTTTTTGCATTATTGAGACTTGGGGTTTTAATATCAAAGGAATACCGCAACTTTACAACACATTCAAGCATTACCGGTATTGAATTACAAAAACACCCTTTCAACTTATGGCGGATGTATTTTCCTTCCACCTGGTGCCAATGTGCATGCTAAACGGAAAATGTCCAAAATCAGACCAAGATTTCGAACCACTGAACTTTTTTTATCTAAGAAGTGTTTAAGAACTTGGACCCAAAACGACTGCATTATACCTGCCCAGTAAGCAACAGTTAACCTACACAAAGTACACTACCCAACTAACGTTGCCGTCGGCGTCCCGTCACTGCTACCGCCTGGAGAATTGGTTCTCAGTGTTCTCATTTTTTCTACGCCAGTGCCAGTGACATTTTACAAGGGGTCAACATGAGAATAAAGTTTTTGTGCAACGATTTTGTGGTTGTGCTAGGAATTAAATCTGTCCCTTCCACATCTAAGTCTGAGACACTACCATTTTGTTGTTGTTTTATAGCTAGCAACATGCCAATTGGGTTGTGGTATTCTTAAATATGATATCAGGTGCTCTAAATATGAATACTATTTAATATTGAAAGTTTTGAAATTTGCTACGGTCTTGAATTATTCTCCCAAGTGGAGATGTTTAGGGATAATCTAAGCAAAACTACGACGAAAAACGAATTTAAACTATAAAATAATCAAATGTATTTCTCATTAATGTTTTCATGACAAGGAGCAATATTGGACAACAAAACAGACAGCTGATAGTAAAAACAACATTCATATCATCTGTATGACTATTACAAATAAATAGAAAAGGCAGGCATTTTCAACACTTTCCCTTATTTGCATAGTCATTCCGAGGTCCAAGATTTTCTCGCAGAACTTGAAGTCTTGGTCGAGGTATAGGCTTTGTCAGTATATCTGCTAGTTGATATTCTGAACCGATGTGCTTTACAGTCAGCATACCTATATTTATCCTGTCTCGAATGAACAGGTACTTCCGCTGAATATGTTTTGTACGAAAGTGAAACTCGGGGTTTTCACAGAGTTTTCTTGCTGATTCGTTGTCAACTTTCAGGATAGGGACAGCAGACAATCCTATAAGTTCTTTGAACAAACGAACAATCTAGATTGTTTCTTTTGAACCAAGATTAGCTGTAATGATTTCAGCTTCACAAGTTGAGTCCGCAACTAACTCCTGACCACGACTAACCCAAGTTATAGCTGCACCCGCGTATTTAATAATAACTCCACTTGTTGAACGCATTGTAGTTGGACAACTAGCAAAGTCCGCGTCACTATAGCACTCCAGTAGACGTGTTTTAGGTTTGGATTGGTACACTAGCTTCTGGTCCACAGTGCCGGTCAAATAGCGTATAACACGCTTTGCTCTTGTGACATCATCTTGTGTAGGATTTTCTAAGTGACGTGATAGAACACTTACACTAAATGCAATGTCAAAACGAGTACCACGAGCAACATAAAGTAGGGCTCCAACTGCCGATCGGTATGGAAAATCGGAGGCTTTCCCTGGTGTTTGAGCAGTGAGCTTCTCTATGGGAGTAAGTACTGGCTTGCATCCTTCCATGTTAGATCGAGAAATGATCTTCTTGATATACGCTAATTGGCAGACCAATATATCACTATCACTTTGAGAAATTTCGAGTCCGAGAAAGTATGACACTTCTTTAGCAACAATTTCAAATTGTGAACGAAGTTGCCCAATAAATAAGTCCATTTCAGTCTGACTAGTCGCTGCGACTAATCAGTCATCAACATGCAACAATGATTTTTCCAGCAGGGGTAGGACAAATATAGACACAGGGATCTTCACGGCTCTGTCGAAATCCTAAGCCTTTCATGAAGTCGTCAAACCGTTTATTCCAGCATCGAGGTGCCTGTTTCAGGCCGTATAAGCTGCGTTTGAGACAACAAACACGATTTGTCCCATCTGAATATCCTTCAGGCTGCTTCATAAAAATCTCTTCTTCAACGTCTCCGTACAAGAACGCAGTTGAGACGTCAAACTGCCGTAGAACCATCTTCTCAACAGCTGCGATGGACAATATTGATCGAACGACCTCCAGACGAGCAACCGGACAGCTCGCCTTGACACTTCCTTCACCAATTCCTACATCTCAGACCTGTTTCTCTCCCTT